AAAGTCCAGGCCTAAGGCAAAAGGGTTTGCTTCCTTGTGATGCAGAGTCAACGAGAAGGGAGCAGCAATCTCTCTTTAAAATGCTTCATATACACAAAAGTCGCTTAGCGTGGAAGAAATGCAAACAAAGCAAGGCTGGCTTGTACCAGCCAAGACTTTTAAAACCAATGGGTGAAGCAGTAGTGATGCTGAATTTGAAGGTGTCCAGAACACTGTGGATGAAACCCATGGTCCGCTTGTGCATCCGTTGGTGCCTCTATGAACTCTGGATTTTACCACTACAAGTATTTTGAAGTGGCAGCTCCTGTTCCCAAGAGTAGGGAGTTGTCAGGGCTGTGCCTGGCCTCCAAGAAAGGGTGTGTTGAACAAGTCATCTTACACTGGACTTGTTCCATTTGCTTTGTAAGTCTGTATGGGTTCAGAGGTGCAACCCCTGATGTGAACCAAGAGACAGCTGTGTCAGAGCAGACACTGCTCCAGTAGAGTTGTTTCTTTTCATCATAATTTTTCCCACTCCATGAAGACTGTGCTGTGTTTCAGCTGAATTATGATAGTTTGTGGGCAGTTTTATGTGAGCGCAAGTGTAAGGTCATCTGAATTTTGCTCATCTCCTGCAGTGCTTTAAGCCTGTGCTCTCCTGTGAACTTGTTCAGTTTTTTTCCAGAACTGAATCTTACGATAGATTAGTTTGTTCCCAAATTCAGAATTAAAGAAATACCTTACAAATGCAGCTCGGAGTCTTGAACAACCACTTAACCTATTTCCCAGTTTGCAGCTGAACAGTGGTGGAGAATTGTGATTAAGTGCACGTAGCTACACAGTGCAGCAACTCATTAATATTCAGATGTGTTTAACTCTATTAATAGACAGGTCAGAGTTTTTGCCAGGCCCCTGCTAGAGGTGGGCAACAGCCTCCTTGCTCTTCCTCTCTTCCACGCCAAAATCACTTCACTTCAGTAAGTATGTATGACGGACAAGGCAAAGTATTTATAGTGCCATCTAGCTAAATTCCTGGCTGACACTTCCTTTCAGTCCTTAAAATCCTGAGAAATTCTAGCAGTAGAAATAAAAGTAATAAAGCAGGCCCACTTTACAGTGGGGCCGTGAATAATGGGTAGGAAATGCCACAGCGGAGACTGCTCATGCAGTCCTGGCTACATGCTGAGGAAGCCATCAGATGTGAGAAGTAACATGCAATAAGCAGTTCTTTTTTATTCCAAACAGTTTTGGAATGAGCATGAGGAATGAAACAAAGTAACCCATCCTTCTGTTTGCACTGAAGAGCTCACGGCAGCAGAAGCTGCCAAGTCAATCAGTCACAGGGGAGATTAATGGTAAAACATGATCCTCTTTGTTGTAGGACACTATGAAAGAGCATTTCAACATTCAGCTCAGCAAAGATGATGTGAGTCATTCAGCCCTGTCTTCATAAGGTTGCATCAGAACCAGAAATGACCTCAGGAGGGTCACCAGCCTGTTCTCCCATCTTAGGGTAGGACCAATTATATTAGGTCTATTCTTGATAGCCATTACTCCCATCTGTTCTTAAAATCCTCCCAGGGATGAAGTCTATGAAATATCCAGGAAGGGCCTTCCACTTCTTTGCTAACCTTGACATTCAAGAGCATTCCCTGCTGTCTCATCCAGATCTGCCTTGGCTCCCACAAGTGAAGCTAAGTGTCCCACCCACCTCAGCAAGATGGGTATGTTCTTCTTGGCCAGAGTCTCCACCTGGAGACAAACATTCAGAGCTTTCCTTCATAACTGTGCCTAGGGTTTCCGCCTTGTCCTTCTAAGTCACATTTTCAAGGCCTTTAGTTGTTATTTTTAGTGGCCTTGGGTTCTTTCTACCTGATCCATCTGTTCCATCAATGGCACTGCCCAAACCTGAAGGTACTCCAGCTCAGGCTCCCCCAGTACCACACAGGACATAGCAGTTGCCCTGTACTTCACTACCTGTGTCCCTCTGTATTCTTCCCATTCTACAATGGTCTGCCTTTCTATCAGCAGTGTAACCCTAATGCACGTTCACCTCAGCATCACATCAGATGTGGAGAGCTGCTAGGTCCTTCTTTCCCAGTGGCACAGGTGGGAGTGTGTGCTGGGGGAACAAACAGGGAATACCGAAAGGACTGTGGAGCAATCTCACCATTAAGAGCACGTGGCTGGGAGGCAGGAGCCACTGGCTTGCCATGGGATTGCACCTTCCCACCTCTTTGCTGTACCTCAGTGTCCCCAGATAAAAAACACAGACTGTCATGTCTCACATTTGTCAAACACACCGAGATCTGTGTACAAAGGGGAAAAAAGACAGCTGAGGTTTTTTTGTTTTTGTTTTTTTTTAAGAGGAAAACAAGGAATGCAGTTTGTGAGAAATAAAACAAAACATGTTATTTTTAAAATTTTGTTTCATTTATTTGGCAGTAATATCCAAACCCCCCTGCTTCAAAAAAAATATTACAAAATCAAGTAAAATAAGTGCACTAAGGAAACCTACAGAATACTGATAAAACTTCACACACAAACAGGAGGGAATATAGAGGGAGTGGTGGGACTTTTTTGTTTGTTGCTTAAATTTGGCTTTTTGGAAAAAAAAATGCATGCCCTCCCTGCCCCTTGCAGTCTGTACAGCAATTGTCCCAGAGGGCAACAGCTGGAATTCAGCACCTCCCTCCCCAGCACCCAAGTCACCCTGCAGAAGACAGTGACTGACCAGCCTGCTGCAGGGCAC